TATTTAAAATTAGACAGAAAATACCATAAATAATTATCACATAACATAAAAAATATATTATTATATTAAAATTTAAGTTTATGTTAGATATGTGATTTATATTTAATAAAATATTTTTATAGTATGTAATATGTCATTTTTTGTCTAATTTTTAACAGAAACTAATTTTATGAGTAAACTGAAAAAACTTAAAATATAAAGGGTCAAAGTGGGGCCAAATAAACTTTAAAGGTTAAAGTAGGAAAGTGACCAAACATAAAAAGGGACAAAGTGTAATTTACCCATGTAATATGTCTATAATATATAGTTGAATTTTTATAGAATATATAATATCTATACAATGTATTATTGGGTTTCTATTATTATGTTATATATATAATATAATTTTAATATTTGCGCAATAATAATATATATTTTAATTATAAATATCACTTTTTAATTTTAATTATTGAGTTTTAATATTATTATTAAATTTCCAGTTGTGTTGCGGATCAAATAGAGTCAGGGATAGGGGTTACATTTGCGAGTTTGGGCGAGGGGGATGGAGAGTTTCATGAGGGTTGGTCAGGGGTGAGGGCAAGCGGTAGAAATGGGTGTAGGGGAGGTAGGGAGCCTTGACCTATATTATATCTGTTGCCATCTATAATCAGGTCAAAGTAGAAGTGAGATATAGTTGAGGTTGTTTAGTGCAATTTATTTAGGTTGTTTACCATTTTTTAGTTTATAAGTTTGTGTTAGATTGTTTGGCATAATTTCTGAAAACTAAGCGGATGTATTTTTAACTTTTATTTTTAAGTAATTTATTTTTAACTTATAATAAGTTAAATTAATTATTTGTACATGTGTTATCTATCTGTCTAATTATAATTAAAATGTGTATACGTGTCACCGATCTATCCAAATATCTATTCAAATGTCTAACTATCTATTTAAATATGTACAATTTATGTGTTTGTACCATACTTGGCACCAGCAATAGGAGGCCGCTACTACATAGCATGAAAATCAAAAAATGATTTGGGATCAAATCATAGTGCCAAATAGTAACGAATTAGAAAAAATGTCTAAAACAGTAAATCCTTGTCAAACCAATCTGCATATATTTGCTAACTAACACGACCCATTCAATTTACATTTGCCAATTAAACAGATGAATGCAAATTATTTTTTTTAATTTATTTAAAATTAAAAAAATAACGAATAAGATACCATCTAATCCAACCTCACTTACCGACCTCACTTACCGACACGACACCCCTACTACTAACAAATTTATTACAGACAAGTCCTTGTCGCAAATAAGACAAAAGATGCTAAACTTAGCGAGTTTTGTGTATGGCTTTATATACGTGTTTGTCTTGACTCTCTATTTTCTTCATTTTGAATTGAAATATGTCACTTTATTTATTAAATGGTGCGAGATCATATATATATATATATATATATCGGTTCAGATTTTCTTAATTTAGTCATTTCAATTAAAAAGGTCATTAAGCTTAGTGGATCTATTTTAATGTCGATTTTGATAATTTAAAAGAATTTTTTTTAAAGGTTCTTGGTCTTAAGATTTTATAGCATAAAATACATTAAATATTTTCATAATATTTAAAGTCCCTCAACATCGATCCAGAGAAAATTCGACCCAGAGAATTTCTCTAGACTTTTGAGAGAATTTCTCTTCTCCTAGAGAAATTCTCTTCTCTAGAGAAATTCTCTTCTCTAGACTTCCCAGAGATTTTCTCTCCAGAAATTTCTCTGCACTTCCCAGAGAATTTCTCTAGACCTTCCAGAGATTTTCTCTCCAGAGAAATTCTGGGAATTTTGACCAATTTTCTCTGGCCTTCGCAAAGAATTTCTCTGTATTTTTGACCAATTTGCTCTGGTTTACTCATAATTTTCTCTATATTTTTGGTCAAATCAGAGAAAATTGAATAACCACCATTTTTATTTTGACCAATTTTCTCTGAACTATAAGACATTCAAATAATAACAACCCGGAGAAAATTGAACAAATACTATTTTCATTTTGACCAATTGTCTCGGTACTGTAAGACATTCAAAACATCGAAAGTAATGGATATCACAACACAACACATGGCTTGCTTCTTAATGATGATTATATAGTAAATGTTAATCTGAAAAGCTTGAAACCCTCATAAAATCCAAAAAACTTGAATTCTCTGGGAAGTCTAGAAATTCTTTGAGTTCAAACTAGAGAAAATTCAAACCATTCAATTTTCTTTGAATTTCTCTGGTTTGGTAATTTTCTTTGGTTTGAATCAGAGAAATTGTTGATGTCTACAATTTAGTCTACATTTCAAAAGATTAAAATGCAGAAAAGGGATCCATAGCTAGCTATATTGAAGAAAAACTTCAATTTTCAAAATTAAAATAGAAGATAATACAGAGAGAATGAAAGAGAAATTCTTCCCAGACTCACATACCATTATAATTTGTGTGGCTCTATCTAGAGAAAATAGTGTAGAGAAAATTTGTGTGGCTTTGTGTGGCTCTATCCAGAGAAAATTGTGTAGAGAAAATTTGTGTGGCTTTATGTGGCTCTCTCTAGAGAAAATTATGTGAGAGAAAACTTGTGTGGCTTTGTGTGGCTTTATGTGGCTCTCTCTAGAGAAAATTATGTGAGAGAAAACTTGTGTGGCTTTGTGTGGCTTTATCTAGAGAAAATTGTGTAGAGAAAATTTGTGTGGCTAGAGAAAATTGTGTAGAGAAAATTTGTGTTTTTGATCAAACTAGAGAAAATTGAACAAAAAACAAAAAAACAGATAAGATAATTTCTCTGGTTAGGCATGGAAATACTTCATAGATAGCTACATTAAATAAAATTAAACATGTCAGAGAAAATTACACACACGAGAGTGTTAAGTGGCAGTTCTCTCTTCTCTTCCAACTTCATTCCTCATCTTTTTTAAATTCTCTAGTTTACTTATAATTTTCTCTGTGTTTTGATCAAACTAGAGAAAATTGTGTTTTGACTCAACCAGAAAAAATTGATCAAAAAGGAACCTCAAGATTAATATATACCTAATCATTATCAAACCAGAGAAAATCCAAAATCACATTTTTCTTTTTTTTGCCCCCTTCCATTATCTGAGCATGTAAACAAATTAATAGAGAAATTGAAGCAACCAACTATAAAAAAGGAACTAACACATCCTTTAGTTTTCCAGAAAAAATTCACAGTGAACAACTAGGGAAAATTCACACAGTGGCCAAAATTCAAAGAAAATTCACATAGTAGCTAAATCTAGAGAGAATTCAAACAGTGGCCAAAATCCAAAGAAAATTCACATAGTGTCAAAATTCAGAGAAAATTCACACACCCCCTCAAGCGCACGTTAGAGCGAAGGCCCATGATTTTGACAGGAAATCGTTGCGATGTCCCCTGCTTTATTTCCAGCTACACCAACAGTCGCCTCAACGTATCAACACAACACACATACAGAGAGAGAGAGAGAGAGAGAGAGAGAGAGAGAGAATTTGAATTTGGATTTGGAGAAATAGGTTTGTCTCATATATTACAAAGACCTTTTACTTGTGAAGAAGATTTTCAGAGAGAATTGAAAAAATGGACTCCTATAGAGGTGGCTACTTTGTTGATGAGAAAGCAGTTCGAGTCGAGAACATTTTCTTAGAATTCCTCAAGAGGTTTGTTTTTTCATTCGATTTCTTTTATGTATTTCACTTTTCAGTTTTTGAACTTGATTTGGGTTCATCGATTTTTGCAGCTTTAAGTTGGATCAAAATTCGAGAGAATGAGAAAATGAGTGTTAGTGTTCAGTGGGATTCATTTTGGATGGGTGACATATATGGGGATGGGTGAGGGACCTTAGAAATCACAAAATAATATTGTGGACATCTCCTATTACTAAAAATGGAAGAGGGACCTTAGACTAATTTTTCCTAATTTAAATTATTTATTTTTTAAAATTTGCTGAGTATAATATTTATGAAAAAAAATTAAAATAAATAGATATCGATAGCTATATGTTCAAATCATATTTATATTGAGAAAATGAATAGTTACTCTTAAAATTATATTTATCATCTATTTAAAAAAAATGTGATTCAAATATATAATTGTGGATATCCAATTATTTTAATTTTTTAAATAAATATTCTATTTAATGAGTTCAAAATAACCTACCAAGTCAATTATTTATACTAGCACCATTTCTTTATTAACTTTTATTTTTATTTTATTTTTGTGTTTGGGCTAACTTACGCATACCCAAACTAATTTTGGGACCATAAAATAACGATTGGATAAACTTCTAATGATCCTTTAGAATTACTTGAACTCGACATCATAAATTTCTTAAAGGGCAAATTATGCTGCTAGTTCCTGTACATTGGCCAATGTGTTATTTTGATTTTTGTAATTTCAATTGAATGGATTTTGACCTTAAATTTTTGGCTTTGTCTCAATTTAGTCAAATTGATTCCAATTGTTAGCATTTTTTTATGGCAAATACATATATGAATGGCATGTGTCATGTTGTAAGGAGTAAAATTGTAAACTTTATCAATTTAGTGACTTAACCTTAACCAATTTAATAAGAAATTTATGTCAAAAATCTTATTAGTGTTGTCAATTGGATCAAATTGAAACAAAATCTAAAATTATCCAAAATTAAGCAAATTGAAACAATAACAACTAAAATGACACAAATAATAAAATGTAGGGACTCTGGATATAATTTACTTTTTCTTTTTTTAAATTGAGACGACAAACTAACGTAAAATTAAAATACGGGAAAGACAAACTAACGTAAAATTAAAATACTTTCTTGTGGTTGCATAAAATACTTCCTCGGCAATGAAAGTGAAACAACGCCAGAAATCCCCCATGTGTTAAAGTTAGCTAAGGTACAAGCAAACATCAAAAAGTGTCAACGTATTGGAATCAAAATTTGGAACCATTACTTCCTCTTCCATTTCCTTTTCTCTTACTTTATTCATCCTATAAATAAGAGGATACCCATAGAATCACACAACAAACGACAACAACCAACTAACCAAAAACAAAAAAATGGAGCCAAAAAACCATGGAAGCCATGTTATAGTCCTTCCATATCCAAGCCAAGGCCACATAAACCCTCTCCTCCAATTTGCCAAACACTTGGCCTCCAAAGGTGTAAAAGCCACATTAGCCACAACCCATTACACAGTCAAGTCCATCTGTGCCCGAAACATCGCCGTTGAGCCCATCTCAGATGGGTTCGACGACGGTGGTTTTACCCAAGCCCGCACGGAAGATGTCTACCTCAAGTCCTTGAGAGACAATGGCTCAAGAAGTCTCTCACAACTCATTGAAAAATACGAGGACTCAAAATTCCCAATCAATTGTGTTGTCTATGACTCATTCTTCCCTTGGGCTCTTGATGTGGCTAAGACCCATGGCATCTATGGTGCACCATTTTTCACTAACTCGGCCTCGGTCTGCTCAATATTTTGTCGCGTGCACCACGGTGTGGTTAGGTTGCCGATGAAGGAGGAGGAGTTGCCGCTGATGATGCCAGCGATGCCACCGATGAACTTGGTGGACTTGCCGAGCTTTGTTCAGGCCCCTGAGAGTTACCCTGCTTACTTGGCTATGCAATTGACTCAGTACCCTAATTTGGACAAGGCTGACTGGGTTTTTGGGAACTCCTTTGAAGAACTGGAAGGCCAGGTTTGTACATGTTAATGGTTTTCTAAAATGAATTGAGTTGCTCGAGTTTGACTAATGTTTAAACATATTTTAAAAGTCATTTATTTGCTGAACTTGGGTCAAACTCATCTATACAAAAATGTATTTGGGAAAAGTTAAGGATCACGAAAATTTTGTCATGAAAATGATCATGAAAAATTTATGATCCTTAAATTACCTTGATTAGTGTGTGGTGCTTTATTCTAAGTGTAATCTAAGGGTCACAAAACTTTCATGATTATTTTCATGACAAAATTTTCATGATACCTAGCATTGCTGAATATATTTTGAAAGCTGTTTACCTTCGAATTCGACTATATAAGCTCTTAGGGATTATATATAAAAAAACTAAGGAATAACTTATACTTGTAGTCTTGTAATATATCTCCTGTCAATTTAATTTATCTTCTATCAATTTTGTCCTTTAATTATTCATATTGTGTCAATTTTGTTCAATTGATAACATATGTTAAGAAATTATATAAGAATCAATGAAAAAAATAGTCCATTAAAAAAGGATGGAGCATTTCAAATTGAATATCTACTAGTTAATCGTTTTAAGGTGAGTGAATTGAACTAAATTGACACAATAGGAAAAATATAACGATAAAAGTGATGTAATGAAAATTAAAATGACCAAATTTGACACAAAAGACAAACTATATGAACTGCAGTATAATTTTTCCTAAACTAAACTAATTGAGCTCGGTTTCAATCAACTCGTTTGAGAAATACTTGAAAGATAAACCAACCAACATTAAACATATCTTTTAAGCTTATTAAATTTTCAAATCAAGTTTAAACAATTCATTCTCGACCTGTTTACAGCATAATATTTGTGTACTTGGTTAGCCTTCCAACTGTCGAAATTGCAATGCATTTCTTGTTAATTTAATTTAATGTTTTGTGCTTATTTGAAGGTTGTGACAAATGTATGGGAGCTCTGGCCGGGAAAGTTAATCGGTCCAATGATACCATCGGCATACTTGGACCAGCGAATTAAAGACGACAAAGGGTACGGAGCCAGTCTATGGAAGCCACTCAGCTCTGAGTGTGCCAAATGGCTCGAAACCAAGTCTAGCCAATCCGTCATTTATGTCTCCTTCGGAAGCATGGTCTCATTGACAGAGGAACAAATGGAGGAAATGGCATGGGGATTGAAGGGAAGCAATTTGGACTTCATTTGGGTGGTAAGAGAGTCTGAGATTACTAAATTGCCCTCTGAGTTCATAGACTTAACAACCAAAGGCAAGGGTCTTATAGTAACTTGGTGCAACCAGCTAGAAATGTTGGCTCATGAAGCCATTGGTTGCTTTGTCACACATTGTGGTTGGAACTCTACACTTGAAGGGTTGGGCCTTGGTGTGCCAATGGTTGGGGTGCCAAAGTGGGCCGACCAATTGACAAATGCTAAGTTTATTGAGGAGATTTGGGGTATTGGGGTCAGGGCTAAGGAGGATGAGAAAGGGGTTTTGAGGAGAGAAGAGCTCATGGGTTGTTTGAAGGAAGTAATGGAAGGGGAGAGGAGTGTTGAGATTAGAAAAAATGCTTGTAAGTGGAAGGAGTTGGCAAAGGAGGCAATTAGTGAAGGAGGGAGTTCAGATAAGTCCATTGATGAATTTGTGGAGCATTTGAAGTGTGGTAATGAAAAAGGAGTGGTAAAAAAATTGACTGACGAAAATGATCATTGCTAATTTGATACTCATTTCGCCAAGAGAGTTGTAGGTTCAAATTTCAGGTGGGGTAGTTGAGTATAATTTCCTTTACTTTTTTAATAAGGTGTTGGCTTTCTATGTCAACACGTGTCATGTTGTGTCATATACTCGTAATTGTTCGATTTAATTTTTGATTTAAAATATTTAAATCATGAAATTGTTCGTGATAGAACAAAGTGAGTCACCATTTTAAAATAGTAGAATTTATTATTTTTGTGGAAAATGTGAAAAACAATCCTTAGGGTGATTTGCTGCTAAAAAAGTTTATAAAAATGCATTGAAATGTATGAAACTATTTTGAGATATATGAAAAATGTATTGAAATTATAAATCTGTTAGCATTTAGTGTTTCTTATAAAATAAATAAATAAAAACTCTCAAGACTATCATTAGCAAAATCTTTTTTATATTACTTTTTTTAAAGACAACTGGACTAATGTTAGACATTAAATAGTATGAAATATGTACTCTAAAACTACCAAATAAGTCCTCTCAATTCACCTCACTTGCCACTTGGGCCGCAGGCCAGACTTCCAATCCCCTCAAACCTTTTTTATTTTATTTTTATCGGTAGTGCTACAAATACCAATTATTGAACCAACAAATATTATGTTATTATTACTAATCTCACCTATTAATTAAATTACAAATACCTAAAACTTTTAAAATTATGCCACATCATTTATTAATACACTAATTGATATATATATATAGAATTATTCTATTCGTATTACTTCTACTTACAACTTATTATTAGGTAATATTTCAACAGAGCTCGTAAAATCTCATTTAATTTTATAGGACTAATGTGATTTTATAAATTTATACAACATGATTGTATTTTTTTAATAAAATTATTCACTTTGTTTGGTTCTGGTTTTCAGAAAATAGTTTCTAAAAAAATCTATTATTTTATTTTCCGTATTTTAATGTTTTCAATGAATTTTTAAAAATATTTTAAGCAATTTTTTTTTTAATTTTTAGATACACCTAACATAAATTCATTTAAAAAGTATAATATTTTTGAAAAAAATCTTTAAAAAATACACTAAATACCAAATAATACAAAAAAATATGAAAATTTAGTACATTTTTCGTATTTTTGTGTATTTATTAATTTTTTAAAATATTTTTTCACAAATATTTTACTATTTAGATATATCTAAGTAATGTGTATTTAAAAAAGTAAAAAAATTGTTTAAAATTTTACAAGTATTCATTAAAAACAAAAAAACACAAAAAAATAAAAAAACTCAATTTTTAGAAAATTGAAACCAAACCCACAGTTTCTTTTTTAAATGCTAGAGACCAACAAATTTTGACTTACAAATTCATTCACAATGATATTACAAAAGAGTTGGACCTGCTATCGTTGAATGTGTAATAAATAAAAAATTAATACCTATCATACCTCATCATCAAGGCCAGCTGACATTTTTGGGGCCAAAGCATATTTGATTATATAGCCGATAAATTTAAGGTTATATATATAATTCTAAGTTTCAGACCAATTTTTATATATGTTGTATTTAGTTCATAGATCTAGGTAGAAAGTTGGAAAAAGAAATGAAAAGGTATGTAAAATATAATTATATCTCATTTACATTTCACTTATATTTTTCTCAATCTTTTCAAATCCCTATTTATGAACCAACACAATCTGAAAGTAACAAGAGATAACGTAAAACAAGTTCCTCTATATATATTTGATCCACAAATCAAAATATAGATTTTAAAAAAGAATCTACTTTCAAAATTTTTAAAAATTGACTTTTTAATGTACTTAAAATTTTTAATCATAACATACCAAAAAATAAAGCATAAATTCCACACAAATAATTTTTTTTTATTTCTAAAAAAAGCTATGAACATTTCGATGATTTTGACATTTTTCATCAACAAATTCACAAACTGTTATGTTATTAAGGTAAATTATTTAAATTTGTTTTTTATATTTTCTTTTAATTATATTTCTAATTTAAATATTTTTTTTTCTCATATTGAAAAAATTGTAGGAAATTTAATTATACATCTTATCAATACCTATTATTTATCACTGAATGTGAAAAATCAAGTTCTATTGTTCTTCCCTCTTAATATTTTTAATTAATTTTTTTTTTGTATTTTTATTATTGCTAGTGTTGTGCTCTTTTTTTTTTGTGATTATTTTTAGAGAAAACAAATATGTCTAATAGAAAATATGAATTTGGATATGAAAAACTTAAGAAAAAAAAAATAAAAATAGAAAATCTTATTCAATCTAAAAAAGGAGCTCTTGATAAATTCATTACAACTATATTATCAATTGAAAAGATTTGGTAGCAAAACTCGAATATAAAGATTTAATTAATATTTTTTGCATTTCAAAAAGTTAGAAAAATAAATTTTAATTAAAAATTTTATTAAAAAAATTTATTATATAAAAGGTCTCATTTTTAATTATTGCTTTAGGGCACAAATTATCTAGAGCCGACCCTATTATTATGCTATCTTGTAAAAATCTTAATTTTATTCATATTTGCCTCCTCGTTTCTATAGGCTGTGCAAATTTTTATCAATATTTAAGATCCAAACACAGCTTCAAAATTTTTGAATAGTGTAAGAATATCAAAGTTCTAGAATCTTGAGTCATAACCTAACCTATTTTGGTATAGGAGAATAGAAATTCGATAATATAAATTCTTGTGTGACTTGATTGAATGAGTGACATGGGTCGGTTTTATCCTCTACTTCATCAATTAAGTAATTTCCACCCAATTTCAATTTAAATTATTCATCTATAATGCTAAACTTACTATTTTTATTTTTATATATGATATTACGTTTTCTATTTTTTTACTTGTCTATATAATAATAGTGTAAAGGGTCCATCACTAATATATATCTCCAATGTAATTGACAATTAAATTAATGCACCAGCTCAGGAATATTCTCCGGTGTACAATACACACTGTATGCAACCTTACTATAAAATTACATAAGTTTTTACAAATTTATATAAGTGATATCATAAAAAAGGGTAAGTTGAACACAAATTCGCAGAAGTCTATTCATAATAGTGAACTAATGTGTATTTGTGTTCAACTTATGCATTTTTGTAAGATCAGTTATGTAAATTCGGAAAAACTTACGTAATTTTGCGGTATGATTGTATACGGTATACATTGTACACCAGAGCATTACTCATGAGAAAATATTATAGAAATAACAATAATGATAGAGGGCTCTAAATTTGGAATTCTAAAGAGAGCTCTAATGATGTTGTAAGAGAAAAAGAAAAAACAGAACAAAACAAAACAAAACAAAAATATAGGCACACACATCACATCACATGTGGGGTCTACTCCTTGCAACATCACTAGAGTTCTTTTTAAAATTCTAAAATTAGAGCTCTCAATCTTTATTCTAGAAATAAATAATCGTCATAGCATTATTCACTATGCATTGATCGTTAATATAGTGTGAATGATATGTGATATTATGAGAGGAGTTTATACTGTTGGATTGAACAGACAAGAAAATACATATACTTAAGGAGTCAAAACTTGTCACATAATCAATCATATAAAACAACAAAACAATTTGAATAAAACTACATCTTTTATGATGAGTTCTACTGTTACACTCCAGATTTACAAAATCTGACCAATGAGAATAAATCATCAATAACAAAAGAAAAGACAATAATAAACATAATAAAAACTCTCTCTTATATGTATGTATGTATATATATATATATATATCAATGTCGTTTATTACATGAGATTTACCTATTACATACATCTTACATTCAACATCAGTAAACATATAGTATGTTTTTAGTCGCTAAAACCATTACATTCGGCGACTAAAGTCTTTTAGTCGGCAAAAGTGACCAATTTTGGCGACTAATTCCATTTTAGTCGCCAATTCCATGACTTTCAGCGACGAAAATTCCCATTTTAGTCGCCAATAGTGTTTTTTGTTGTAGTGATCAGTAAACATATAGTATGTAATTCAAAAGCAACTAATATTATATGTAATTAAAGTGCCCTTAGGCTTACATCAAATAAAATGGTGTAACCATTACAAAAATGACACACGGCCTACTAAGTAGATGGTTCAGGATCTACAAATCAAAAGAGCTCTCTCTTAGCTCAAGCACATATCCAATGTCTCGCCTCATGGTCGGGGCACGCCATCAACATCTGAAAAAGATTTCAGCTACGTAGGATGAACATATAGTTCAGTAGGGTAAATCTCACAAGATAATATGTTTCTACAAACGTAAATGATCATGATGCTACATATGTGTAATATGCTCAAAACGTTTTCCTTATATCAATATTTCTCATTATCATCATTAATGACTCGGTGAGTCCTCTCAAGTATATGTATCTGCTAGTGGTCATCGCTAAGCACCACCTAATCTAGTGCACTATTTGAAGTTACACTCTACCAATGACCATCGCTAAGAGTTACATAAACACAACTAAATTTACTGATTACTAACCGGAAAGACCTTGACACCTATATTGTGCAGTTTTTCAGTTTTTCACCATTAACTATCAAGTGAAATTAATGCTAATCTCAACTATACATGACCCGAAATCACCACTAATCTTTCAATTAAAAGCATAATGTTTTAATGAAACTAATGCAATGATATAATATTCAATTATCGTAAAACATGCTTTGTGCACCTCTATTCAACAAGGAATTTTCATTCTCATTCAACAAGGAGTTTTCATTCTCGTAAAACCAACAATTCAATAATATAATGAAAGAAATTATCACTTCCAAACACCCAATAATTGTAATGTCTCGAAAATTTATAACATTATATAAGTACATCAACCAACATTCATTATAAGAAAATGTATGATTCTTCAACCTTTACATCATAGATCATTAAGGTTTGTACAAAAGAATCCCACATGCGAATTATACATTCAATGATATCAAATACATGAATCTATAGCATGTAGAACATCAAATTCAAAAGTAAATAAAATGCCCTCAAGGGCTTTCAAATTCCAAGGCTTCAGCCCGATTACACAAAAAATGGTCTCTCGAGCCCAAACAGTTATAGCCCTTGGCTAACAAAAATATGCCACAACAAAAATAAGAGCCCTATGCTCCCAACACATATGTCCATGCTCTAACTTGGCAGTATCACCACGTCTTTTCCTGCACCAAAATCCCATAAGGGTGAGCATAAAACCCAATAGGAAATTCTTAACAAAGTATATACATTTTATACAAGCTTTACAAGTGAAATGAACATGTCATGC